TGCGGGCCCTCTCCTCTTCATCCTTGGGCATAAGGAAACTACGAGGCACCACTCGCGGCCAAGCATTGGCCTGTCCAGCCACCTGCTTGAATTGAAACACAGCTGCAGAATGAGGCCCAACTGGCGTGTTAGGCTGTTCAATGCACTCTTTACCAGGAAATTCGAGACCGCGGCCGACCTCAAAAAAGTCGCACCCGTTACTGTGGCTCGTCTCTCCTGGGGGGCCTGACCACCCTCGCCCCAAGGGGAACTGCCCATTGGGATGTAGTCAGCTGCTCCGCATCAAAGTTCCAGTCTGCTCCTGGAACAAACGGGCAGCCCACCAAGGCCACCGCTTCCCTGAGCTCCTCTACAAACGCAAGGTTGGCGCCTGAGGGCCCAAGCGTGGTGCGGCCGTGCACTGAACCAAAAATGGACGGGAAGGAATGATGCAACATGACCTTGAAGATGCAGAGCCTCTCAGGCCAGCTGCTCTGCCCATGCCCGTTGCTGCCAAACTGAGCCTTACCTGCGATGGCCGTCCTTCCAGGCGTTTCTCGGCGCCCCGCCACCGTTCGCGCCGCTTCCGCGAACCACGACATGTATCCAACTGTGTGGCCCCAACTGCGAACCGCTTTGAACTGTTCCAGTTCCAGCCTATGTTCTTGATTACATAAGGCATCGAGCACGCAATCTTTCACGTTCAAGGCCCATCCCATGTGATTCTGAGCCGTATACTACGAACTGCTGTTGCAGTTGACCAGCTGGAAATCCAATCTCCGAGATGTGTGTGGAGGGCCGCTCCGACCTGGGGCATCGACCATCTGCGCGTCTGCAGCCCAGGAAGGAGGCTGGGTCTGACCGAAGGCTTCGGCCACCCGCACGTCTGCGGCATCGATCCAAGACCCGCTGCCGTCCTTTAGGGTCTGCCCTTCAGCGGGCTCCCCATGGGCCACCAGCCCCGAACCTCCTGCGCGCCGCCGCCTCCACTGCTGCGAGGGGGCAAGGCCGCCCCACGCTGGGGCATCGACCGCCTGCGCGCCAGCAGCCCAGGGTGGCGGCTGAGTCTGATCGAAGGCATCGGCCACCCACTCGTCTGCGGCTCCAATCCAAGACCCGCTGCCTGCCTTTAGCGCCTGCCCTTCCACTGGCCCCCCAGGGACCGCCAGCCCCGAATGACCAGCGCGCCGCCGCCTCGTATGCAGTGCGGGGGGCTAGGCCGCTCCAACTTGGGGCATCGACCACCTGCGCGTCTGCAGCCCAAGGTGGAGACTGGGTCCGATCGAAGGCATCGACCACCCGCACGTCTGCGGCATCGACCAAGGGCCCGCTGCCTGCCTTTCGGGTCTGCCCTTCCATGGGCTCCCCAAGGACCGCCAGCCCCGAAAAACCAGCGCGCCACCGCCTCGCATGCGGTGAGGGGGCAAGGCCGCTCCACCTTGGGGCTTCGACCACCTGCGCGTCTGCAGCCGAAGGTGGAGGCTGGATCCGATCGAAGGCATCGACCACCCGCACGTCTGCGGCCTCGATCCAGGACCCGCTGCCCGCCTTTAGGGCCTGCCCTTCCACGGGCTCCCCAGGGGCCGCCAGCCCCGAAAAAAACCGCGCACCACCTGCCTGACAACTGCTGAGCCCTAGAGGCCCGACCCGCTGCCCTCGGCCAGCTTGGCTCTTGCCGATTCGACAGCAGCTTGCAGCTCCTGGGTGCTGGGAGTGCCGGCTCCCCCCGAGGGTGTCGCGGCCGCCGACTCAGGCACTGTTAACTGAGCACCAGACACGGCAGCACCAGCCGCATGAGGAGCCCCAGGCGCCGATGCGGGTGGCGTCCCAGGCTGGGCGGCGACGGCGGCACTGGTGTCATCGCCGCGGTCGGACTGGCGGGCACGCTTGGCCGACAAGCGTTTCCGCATGTCCCTGGCTTCAGCTCTGAGCCGCTGAATGTTGTCAGCGCTGGGCCCGATGGCAGCAACAATTGCCTTCTGGATCTCCGCCGCCAGGTGGCTTTTGAGGGCAAGCCACCGCTGCTTGTCCCCGCCTTCAATCTCGAGCTCGCTGAGGTCGAGAGCCTCGCCGTCCACGATCTGCACTCCTTCGAAGCCACTCTCCTCCCCCAGCAACTGCCACAGGTTGATCTGGGAGCCAGTCGGCATATGCACCGCATCTGGCGGAGGCCCCGCACCAGGCGTCGAGCCACGGGCCTTCTGCAGCTCGACCTTGAGCTCCTCTTGCCAGGCAGTGTTGGCCTGCACCGCCGAAACCGCCGCCTCCTGGGTCTTCTGGCTGCACTCCGCCAGCCAGCGCCGCGCCTCATCCTCCTGGCGGACCGCATGCTCCAGGGCCTTTTCCGCCCTCCTGCACGCCACTCCCTTCGCACTGATGGTATCCTCCAACAGCGGCTGGCGGGCTGGCTGCGCAGGCGCGGGCGGCGCCACAACCCTGACCAAGGCCTGCAGCTCCTGCGCACCTGCGTCCGCCTTGACATGCTGCTGGAGCTGCTTGAGGATCTCCGCCAATGTCGGTTGCGGGGCCGCCCCTCGCTGTGGTGGCGTCGAGAGCTTCGGTGCCTCCAGGCGGCTGGGTGCCCAGGTCCCTGGCGGGTGCGCGGGCCCTTGTTGGCCACCACCATCATCGCCAGGCGACCAAACTCCTTTGGCCTGGCGCCACGGCATCGGCGACGAGGGGACCAACGCATTGTCACAGGAGAAGCAACTTTCACGCGACTTCCAGTTCCAGCGGTATCGGCAGCTTGAGCAAGAAAGGTAGCCTTTGGCGGCATCCTTGCCCATGGGCTCCTCCAGGAGCTCACCCAGAACGGGAAGATGTTGTGCCAGTGAGGCACCAGGTACAATCGCGGAGTGGCCGTGAGGCCGTGTGTGTAAAAACAGCTTGGACGAAGGCCCAGGGATCGCAGGTGGGGGCGCACCTCCCCCTTGCCACCCTCAAGTCGCTGAGCCTCCCGCTACGGACTTGAGCCAAAATGGCTAGGAGGAGGAGGAGGAGGAGGAGGAGGAGGCTGGAGGAAGAGGAGGCTGGAGCAGGAGGAGGGAGGAGGGAGGAGGAGGAGGAGGAGGAGGAGTAGGAGCGAGGAGGAGTAGGAGCGAGGAAGAGGGAGAGGAGGAGGAGGAGGAAGAGGAGGGGGGAGAGGAGGAGGAGGAGGAGGAGGAGGACGGGAGGAGGAGGAAGAGGAGGAGGAGGAGGAATCTCGACAAGAGTGATGGAGAAGGAAAAACAGGGACGGGCTCGGCCGTTCCTCGCCGAGAGGCGCCCGGGAGCCGCCGAGAAACACGCGGTTTGGGGGCCCAGCGCCGATCCATCGGCGACGAATCGCCAAGTCCAAGGACGTGGGCCTCCGAGGGTCCCAACCCCTGCCTGGGGTTATGTTGCTCCAACCGTACACCACGCGAAATGGTTAAGAAATCATGGGTTAAGAAATTCATGGTCTCAGAACTTGAATAAAAACCCAACATTTCTATCAAAATCTTAGGATTTACATTGAAACGTTAAGAATAATCGAGACTCTGGCCGAACACTGAAGTTTTCTTAAGCATCGCCTAAGGTGTACTGAAGGACCACATCCCAGAAGTCATTTCGAGCACCCGGAGAAGTGTCGAAAGAGTATCGAAACAGTGTCGGGCGAGTGCCTCCCAGTGCCCGACACGTGAGAAAGCCCTCGGGTTTCGGTACTTCTTTTGCCGGTGCTCGAAATCCGCTCTGGCTGTGACAGCTAAAGTAGACTGGAGCATCAAAAGCCTGGGGGCAGGCCTTCCACTCCGCGTACACCCTGCGAAATGCTTAAGAAATCATGGGTTAAGAAATTCATAGTCTCAGAACTTGAGTAAAAACCAAACATTTCCATTCAAATCTTAGGATTCACATGGAAAAGTTAAGAATAATCGAGACTCTGGACGAAAACTTAAGTTTTCTTAAGCATCGCCCAGGGTGTAATTCTTGCGACGGCCCCTGGACCCTGCAGGAGGCCCCCGGAGGCCGAGCGTGGCTCAGAGCCCCGCCGTGCTTTTTCACGGCGCTGCGAGAGCTGGATACCCCCCCCCGCCCTCGTCCGCCTCCGGCCCCCCCGTGTGTGTCCACCTTCTCCGCGTCGTCGTTCTCCTGTTATGTTTGTTGTGCTTCGTCTTCCTCCTGCTCTTCTCTCTCTATGTCTCGCCCTCGTCGTCTGATCCTTCTCGGTCTTCGTCTGATTCTCATTAGCATGTGCATTCGCACTGTGATTGCTATTGCTGCTGATATGAATACTGTTGGCCTCCAAGACGGCCATGATGGCCTCAAAGACGGCTGCGATGGCCCAAATATAGCCTCCAAGACGGCTACGGTAGCCCAAATAGAGCCCATTGTCCCAAGACGTCTCCAAGACGGGCCGACATGCTCCCAAGATGGCCAGATATGACCTCAAAATCGGCCAAGATTGGGCGAAGAGGCCTCCGAAACGGCCCAAGGAAGCCAAGAACATTGATCTTACATGCGTTATTGAAAACATGTACGTCACCCTGGTTTCCGTACCCATGTCGATCGTATCGGATTATTTGAACATGGACCGACCGTCCCGGCATTACTGTAGCCTACCACGACATTTCCTCAGCACCAAAGAATGTTCCTATACCGATACATGAAGCCGATGTCTTCTAACAAGACGGCCTCATCGAGAAATGTCCTGAGAGATGACCTAAGAACACCCCAGTCCCAGCCTCAAATGCTCTTAGAATAGTCTTTGGTGGGCATTTCGGAAACCCAGACCCCCTCGCGTTGCGGAAAAATCACGACGTGTCATGTTTCACGATTTTCGGCCTCTGGGGGCTTTTCCTGGGTTTCGGGGCTGTCAAAAAACGGCTCAGGATGAGAAGCCCGTCCTGGGGAATGGGTCGAGCACTCTGGGGGTCGACGCCATGAACATTGCCAGGACGCCTCGTCACTGCTTGAGTTCTAACTTCTAAATTCGCCGGCGACCACCAGGGGCGTCTGGCCGAGGAGGAGGAGGAGGAGGAGCGAGGAGGAGGAGGAGGGACGGGGTCCTCCCAGCGCCGCGGCCAGGGCGGGCCACCGCTCCAGCTCCTCCAGGCGGCGGGCGGCGGGGGCGGCCCGGCGGGCGCGCCGGGGGCGGCCATCGTCGTCCATCGCCGCCGTGGTCGTCGCCGCCGCCGCCGTGGTCGTCGTCGTTGGCGCCTCCGACGTCGACGGCATTGCCGCCTCCGTCGTCGTGGTGTCCGTCGTCGCCGCCGCCGCCGCCGTGGTCGTGGTCGTCATCGGTGACGCCGCCGTCGTGGCCGCCGCCAGCGAGCGGGCGCGCTGGCGGCGCCAACGCCCCAAGACGGCGCCCACAGAACCCAGGAGGTGAGCACTGTGTAGTCATCAGCTGGTGTTCGATACTCTCCTTTGACCATGCTTCTTCGCTCAGGTTCGACACTGCTCCGTCTTGCAGCTTGACACTGCTCCGAGACGTGCCCCAGGAGGCTTCGGAGGTGACCCACTGGGCCTTGCGAGCCACCAAGACGCTCAAGACCCTTCAGTGCCCCCCCAGGGCCGCAGGGGCCACGTCATGACTCCAGGAGGCCCCAAGGCAACCCAACTGGTTCAAGAATCAGGCGCACGCTGTCATGAATTAGAGCCGGTTCTTGCATTGGGATTGAGGACGGGCGTGATCGAGGGAGGGCGAGTGAGGAAATTCGACCCCTCCCGCCAATCACACCACGGCGGGGCAGACATCTGAGGAACATCTTGCCGAAGCCGCAAGACATCTCGACAAACGTGGGCAAACTGGCGTGACGTGATCCAGGGGGGGGAGTTTTGGATTGGCTCCGCGCTGAAGCATACGGCTTGTCGAGACTGAGCGGCGCTGCAACTAGCAGAAGATTAGTCAGACTAAAACATTCCGCACGGGCACCAAGGACACAAGCACAGTCGCTTCTCCTAGTCCGCATGACCTCCCACCCTAGGGGGGGTGGGCGGGGGGAGGGCGCAAAGGGCACGGCTCGAGGGCAGGCAGGCGGCCTTCCTGAGCCCCAGGGGAGGAGGGGGAGGAGGAGGAGGGAGGAGGGAGGAGAAGTGGAGGAGGAGGAGGAGGAGGAGCCGATCAGGGCGCCCAGACCGTAGAACAAAAAAAAACGGGCCCTTGCAGACCCGTGGATCGGCCACGCTGGCGCAGAGCAGGCCGGTGCCCGCCCGGCGTGGCGACGGGTGCGCGCCGCGCCCCGTGGAAGCGAACCCCGCCGCGCTTCCAGGCGCCCGAATCAATGTTTGCGCCTCCTCCTCCTCCTCCTCCTCCTCCTCCTCCCTCCTCCTCCTCCTCCTCCTCCCCCTCCTCCTCCCCCTCCTCGCTCCTCCTCGCTCCAGCCCGGGCTCAGATCGCCTCCGCCGGAGGTCGCGAGCCCAAGCTAGGAGGCCCCCCGCCTCTGCCCTCCCCCTCTTCGCCCCATTCCCCTTCCACTCAGACCGCGCCATGTCCGTGCCTCCCTGGCGGGCGGCCCCGCGCCCACGGCGTGCTGCACCGGAGCGACGTGCCCAACGCCTGCGGGCCGAAGGCCGAGCCGTGCAGGTGCTCCTTCGCTGCTTCGACGAGCTCGGGCGGCATCGTGGAGGTTGTCCCTCCCGGCTGGGGGCGGCGCTGGCCACAGCCCTTCGTCCACCGCGGGCGGAGCCAGCCAGCGTCCGGAGTTCTGGTCAGCTTCAGGCGCTCCAACAAGTTTTTGCCCAGCCAACCGCAGGAGTTCCAGCCTCAGGAGTACCAGCAGCGGGAGTACACGCAGGAGGGGTACCAGCAGCAGGTGTACAGCCAGACCGGTCCCCTGCCGCCGCTGGAGTATCTGCAGCTGGCGTACCAGCAGGCGGAGTTCTTGCAGCAGAAGTGCAGCCAGTCCGTTCCCCTGCAGCCGCAGAAGTTCCAGAAGCAGGAGTTCCAGCTGGAGGAGTTTCAGTCCGGTCCCCTGCCGCTGCAGGAGTACCAGCAGCGGGTGTACCAGCAGGCGGAGTTCTTGCAGCAGGGGTGCAGCCAATCCGGTCCCCTGCAGCCGCAGGAGTACCAGCAGCAGGGGTACCAGCAGATGTACCAGCCCGGCCCCCTGCCGCCGCAAGAGTACACGCAGCAGGAGTTCAGCCAGCCGCAGGAGCTCCACTACAAGCTGTAGCGCCCTCTTTTTTGCCCCACAGCCCTGCTGTGGCTCCAGGCCACACACACTTCAGAGATGGCCAGTCTTTTGGGCTTTTTCGGCCCGTCGTAGCGGCCGCCCGGCAGGCGCCGCCTCTTGACGCAGTCACAGTCGCGCGGCAGCGCGGCTACAGTCCCGCGCTGCGCAACCTCGCCAACCGGCCTGAAGCAGCAGGCCACAGCGCACAAGTGCTTGCAGCGGTGCTCCTCGAGACTCGAGGCCTCGTGCACCCTGCCAGGGCACTGCTTGCTCGAGGCGGCCCTGGAGACTGACGCTTCGCTCTTTTTGAGGGGGGGGGCCATGTCTGGGGTGTTCATGCGCAGCCTACTCCGAGCCGCTTGTTCACCTGACAAAAGTTGATTGGCCCCCCTCCACCTAGCAGCCGGTTTTTGCCAGGCTGCTGGACGGGTTCGTCTGGTCCCTGGGCGTACCCTCGACCCCGTTCAACGGGGTGGGCGGGCGTGAGGGACCCGATGTGCTCGTCCTCTTTCTCCTCCTCTCATGGCCTACGATTGTCCGGTCCCTCCTCCCAGGCAGTGCTTGCGATGTTGCACTTTTTCTCACGTGCGTTGTCATTGCTTCACATTGCTATTGTTCATCCTTCGTTTCACCTTACAATTGCCCGGTTCACAATACAGCCACCTGGGACACCCACCGAGGTGCACGCCAGCTGCTCACCCCCGCGTCAGCAGCGGCCTCAGAGTCCCGCTCGTTTCCCCAGGCAATCTTACCTCGCGCTTGCAGTTTGGGATGCTTCTTCAGGCAGTGCATGCAGACATCGACGTGCGATGCAATGGTGGCGCACTCTGGGCAGCGACCGTGCTCTCCTCAAAGACGGGCCTGCCCCCTAAGGGGGCGGATCACACGGGAGAGTACGGCACGAACGTACGGCCAGCAGTTTCTTCCCTCAACTCGCACTTAGTTTTTCCGCCATCAGTCACACAGGGCAAGGCTTGCAGCTCTCATCTCAAGAGCTCCGCGGTATCTTCAGTGGACCCCCCTCCATCCTCCTCCTTGATTATCCCTCCTCCCTCCTCCTCCCTCCCCCAGCGCGCTGCTCAGCAGCAACAAGGCGGTTCGACCGCCCACGGCCATTTTGGCCCTCCGTCCAGCTCCTCCTTTCTCCTCACGGTCTACTTAATTTGGGTAGGCATTCCCAGGCCAGATACTTCTTTTCTAGCCCTGCACTGCTCTCTGCCTCGAGGGCTGCCCTGCTATGGGCAAGGAAGCAGGGCTCCGCTGATGTCTCTCTTCGCACGGCGCTGCAAACTCCTCCTCTCTCTTATATGATTCCTCTCTTCCCCTCCCGCAGCGCCAATACCTCTCTCCCGATAGTTTTCGGGACGAGAGCGGAAGCAGCTCAGCGTCCATGCTCTCGGGCTTCTCGTGTGCAGCCTGTGCCAGTCCTGTTGGCCGCTGCGCTCAAGCTAACTTGCAACGAGCTAAGTATAGTCAAAAAAAACCTCCTCGCTCCTCCTCGCTCCTCCTCGCTCCTCCTCCTCCTCCTACTCCTCCTCCTCCTCCTCCTCCTCCTCCGCCGCCGCCGCCGCCGCCGCCGCTGCCGCCGCCTCCTCCTCCTCCTCCTCCGCCTCCTCCGCCTCCTCCGCCTCCTCCGCCTCCTACTCCTCCTCCGCCTCGGCCTCCGCCTGCGCCTCCGCCTCCGCCTCCGCCTCCTCCGCCCTCGCCTCCGCCTCCGCCTCCGCCTCCGCCTCCGCCTCCGCCTCCGCCTCCGCCTCCTCCTCCTCCGCCTCCTCCTCCTCCGCCTCCTTCTCCTTCTCCTTCTCTTTCTCCTTCTCCTTCTCCTTCTCCTTCTCCTTCTCCTTCTCCTTCTCCGCCTCCTCCTCCTCGCTCCTCCTCGCTCCTCCTCGCTCCTCCTCGCTCCTCCTCGCTCCTCGCTCCTCGCTCCTCGCTCCTCCTCCTCCTCCTCCTCCTCCTCAGGCATCAGCGCAGAGGTTCCTCCAAAGAGGCTCTCCAGCGGGTGGAGGCTTGTGGGGGGACAGCAAGCAAGGGGCGATCGAGGGCTGAAGGAAAGGAGCCTCGAAGGGCCTCTGAACTGCCACCGCCACTCCGTGTCCCAAACGTTGCTGCATGGGTGCGCCCATCTTCACGGGTGGGCAGCAAACAGGTGGCGATCGAGGGTTCCAGGAGAGTGGCCTCGAAGGGCCCCGAGACGGGACTGCCACCGCCCACTCCGTGTCCAACAGCTGCTGGGCAAGTGCGCTTTTCTTCACCCTCCGTCTCTCCCCCCCGCACCCCTCGCGCCCTCGTCCTCCTCCCCGGTCGCTCGCCCCACCCCCCCCCACCCCTCGTGCCAGGGCGGGGGGCACGCGTCTCCCGCTCGCTTTGTCGGCGCGCACCAGGGGGGAGGGGAGGGGGGCAGCTAGTCTTCTTAGCAGGAGGCTGCTTCTATTGGCGGCGCGCACTCGGGGGCAGTGGGAGGGGGGAGGGCTTCTTAGAAGGAGGCGGCTTCTAGGAAGGCGCCTCCCCTGCGTCTACAGACAGGGCCCGCGCCTTCTGAGAGGCAGGGGTGCTTCGAAGAAGCCGTCCCCCCTCGCCCTGCCCCCCTCTGCGTGTGGCCGATCGTTCTCGTTCCGAGTCGTCGGCTCTGTTCTTCGTCCTCCCCGCGCCCTCTGCCCTCCTCTCCTCCCCAACCGCCATCCCTCCCCGAACCTGCTTCGGAGGGATCCCAAGATATCCTGTCGAAAAAATGCGCCTGGAAAAACTCTGACGTCCAATGAGGAACATCATAACAAACTAGGAGCACGACAACCATCATGTCCAACGGCACTTCGTGGTATTCTCGGACTGTTAGTCCGTCCACCCCCCTATGTTTTGACTCCTGCGCTCCTTTTCAGACCGTCCTCATCTGGTCAATAGGTAGTATCATCCTGGGCACTCCTGTCTCCCTTGTCATTCTGGCACACCTCCCCATGGAAATCTGCCTTCTCGTCCCTTTTGTTTTTCGAAGGCGCAAGAGGTTGCCCACCTGCCCGGTCACAGTACTTGCAGGCGGTGACAAGCGGTTGTTAGCGAAAATATGCACTGGCAAGCGCCGGAGGCTCCGGAGGGGTAGGACGGGGGGGTGCTCAGACGGTTCGTGTCGTGACGGTTTGTGTCGTGACGACCCTGGCGCTGGTTTCTGAGACCGAGCGGGTCGCTCAAACTGGAGCGGTCGGCGACTTCTCCATCGCCGGATCGCTCCATGTTGGCAGACTCCAGGCCACCGGCGGCCTTCAACCTTGAACGCCCGCGCTGAGATCGTCGCCGCATCGCCACGACACGACACGAAGCTACCGGGCCCAGGCCCCTCCCTCAGAGCCCCGAATCATCAGGGGTAACTCGGGTCAGGGATAACTCGGGTTCGTTTTTCGGGAATCCAAACCCGAGTTACCCCGGACCCGAGTTACCCCGGATAACTCGGGCGTCCAGAGCCCCGAATCATCAGGGGTAACTCGGGTCAGGGATAACTCGGGTTCCTTTTTCGGGAATCCAAACCCGAGTTACCCCGGACCCGAGTTACCCCGGATAATTCGGGCGCCCAACTCCCCCTCCTGCTCCTCCCCCTCCCTCCCGACGATCGCGGAGGGCATCGCCGAGGTCTGCACACGTCTCGCGCCCGAGAGCAGCAGCGTGGGGGCTGCCCGGAGGGCCCGCGGCAGTAGATGGGCAGACCACACGGCACGTCACGGCCGAGACCTCCAGTGCCCCCACCAGGGCTGGACCTAAACGTTGTTGTTTGTTTTGTGCTTGTTTTGTTGTTCGTTTTGCTCGACCTGTTGTCCTGTACTTCTGTACTTCCCTCCCACCACGAACAGCAAAACACAGCCGAAGGTCAGCAAAACACGTTTAGGTCCAGCCCTGGCCCCCACTGTCACAAACAAAAGGTTCAAGGCGTTTGAAACGGCTCGTGCGGGCGCGCAGACAATCTCTGCCGATGAAGAACACCCTGCAAGCACATGAGATCCTCCGTCGGCCAAAACAAACAGAACATCCAAGGGTACCGTCCCCAGGATGCACAAGAGCATCCAACAAACACGAAGAACACAAGGGTACCCTCCGCGAACTGACCTCGATCTCATCCCTGTCCGAATGTACCCGTCCTCGCACGGCCCGATTTCTTCCTCGTCTGCACGAGTCCACGAAACTCACGACAACTTGCGAGAACTTCGGGCGACGACCGCAGCGGCTCGCCAAGCGCTGGGGGCCGTGCGTCCTCCTCTGGTCTCCCGACGCGGCGGAAGTTGGCCGCCACCAGCGCGGCGGGCGGCGCCGCTGGGAGGGTCCGGTCGGGGGCCGCCTCGCTTCGGGGCGAGGGAGGGACGCTGTCGCGTAGACGCAGGAATGACCGTCTAGGCCTTCCAGATGGGGTTGGAGGATCGAGCCGCATAGCCGATGCATCGACGATGCGGCTCGATGTGGAGCCCGATTTTGTCCGCGCCCATGGCGCCGATGCATCGCCGACGTCGCCGATGTATCGGCGATGCGTTGGCGAGGCGGCGCGATCTAACGACCACATCCAGTCAGACCCGATCTGGAAGGCCTCTAGTGCAATGATGTGACCTTTGGTGCGCGGTTTTCGAGGGCCGCGGGGGGGCCAGATTCAAGCGCGCGGGCCAATGTAGAGGGTAGAAAATCCACCCCCATATTGATCACCCCGACACGCGAAGCCGTTTAGCAGACGCAGCCACAGGGAATCGAACAGGGCTGTTTAGTAAACGCCCATGGGCCCTTAGTAAACGCCAATTGTCGGGTCCGGGTGGTTTTTCCTTCCTTGACAGTGCTGAAGCCACTCCTGTGGGCCAACGCCAAGGGTCCCTCCAGCGAGCGATCACCCTTACGGCAAGTTCGCGTCGTGTCGACCCCGGCGTTGGTTCCTGACACCGCGGGGATCGTTCAACCTTGAACGATCGGCCGTTTCCGAAACGTCCAAATCGTTCCACACCGAACGATTCTGGGTCGCCCGCGGCATTCATTTGGACGCCCGAAATGGGTACGGAAAGAACGGGCACTATGCCCAACAACCAATGTTGTCCCAAACCGACAGCGGCCGCTGTTGGGCGGGCGGCCTCCTGTCTCGAATGGACACAGGCCGCGGCGGCGTGGACAGCGGATCTGGTCCAAAATGAACCAGATCCGCTGCTGGGCATAGTACCCATTCTTTCAGTACCCATTTCGGTCGCCCGCGGCATTCAGCGTTGAACGCCGCTGGCGGGGTCGCCGCCGGTCGACACGACAGGAAGCTACCGCACGGCAGGTTCGTGCCGTGTCGACCTGGGCGTTGGTCCCTGACGCCGCGAGGATCGTTCAACCTCGAACGATCGGCCGTGTTTCCGTAACGTCCAAATCGTTCAACATCGACCGATTCTGGGCCTCCGCCGGCATTCAGCGTTGAACGCCGCTGGCGGGGTCGCCGCCGGTCGACACGACAGGACGCTACCGTGCGTGTGGCTGGCGCGGCACTCCTGGCGGCAAGGGCCTCTCCCACGCCGAAAGGGCGCGGTCGCTCGGCTTTCGGGCCCCGGGAGACCAGCACAGATCGGCCCGGCTCCTCCTCCTCCTCCTCCTCCTCCTCCTCCTCCTCCTCCTCCTCCTCCTCCCTCCTCCTCCTCCCTCCTCCTCCTCCTCCTCCTCCTCCTCCTCCTCCCTCCCTCCTCCTCCCTCCCTCCTCCTCCTCCTCCTCCTCCTGCGTTTCGGCGATGTGTTTTTTTTTCTGGGCGGCGTCGGATCTCGGGGGACAAGAAGTTCTTGTGGCGTCGTGTGCGGTGCCCTTGGGCCCTGTACGGTTCTCCAGTCTCGGGGTGCTCTCGGTCGCCTTCGCCCTGCCGGAAGGGTGTCGGGGGTGCCCTGAGTCGCCCGAAGCCGAGAGCATCCAACTCACCGAGGGCGTAACGATCTCTCTGAATGTTGCGCAATGTTTATCGCTACTCGTGCCCCACAGCCGCGCACATAACGGGCGCAAAATAAAAAACGAAGCGCAGATGCCGGGACATGCGTGATCAATAGCACACACGTCGCGCAAACGTACGCAGAGCAAGAAAGAACCCTACGCGGATCGATGCAACATATGGACACGGACGTGCAAAATAGTCACGAATATACACGCCGCTCCGTCTGATGTATACTCGAGCACCCAGGTGATATGGTGGAAACAATCGGCTTAGCCATGCGACCACAATGGGGATACATCCGGCCCCAATGGAATCCTCTGGAACCTTCTGGATCCGCATCGGAGGTGGAATAGTCGCGGATGAGTAGTGACGCAAAGACTTGTGACGATGAAAAGCTGCGCTGTCTGAAAGAGATACCATATCATGGCTTTGGCATGGTGGCAAATATTGCCATCAAGCGCGTGGGAGAGCTCTAGGAAGCACAAGAGGCGGCAGACAGAACCCTATATGGTACCGGTCGAGTCCGACGCCCAATCAAGTCTGCCGCTCGCACAGTTCATGGAGCACCCCCCAGCGCGGCGCGCGCAGCGCCCTTCTGTGCCCCCCTGCTTATACTGGCGCGCCAGCAGCAAAACCACGTCGCACGACGCCTCCTCGCGATGGACACCAGGCCTTCGCGTTCCCAGCGTGCGAACTGATGCCGTGCCTCGCGCCCCAAGCCCGAGTAAATACCTCGGAGAGCTTCGAGCTCGACGAGCCTGCGACCTGCAAAAACAAAACCTTCCGACATAATCACGCGTCATCTCAAGTATCCCATCACCCCCGTGACCTTCGATCCCTGATTTCAGAGGCCTCCAAGGCCCAGCAGCCTCGCAGCCAGCGCCACCGTCGCGTCCACTCGTCGAGCTCACTCCCCTGTCAAAGGGCGAAACATTTTGTGAATTTGGCTCCTCCCTTTTTCTTTTGAATTTTGCTCCTCGCCGCGTCGTGGGCGTGGGCAACCTGGTCTGCTATCGCACCGTGGATGCACTCCCCTCGGATGCTGCCCTCCGTCGTCGGGTCAGCCGCGTCAGGAAACTCGAAAAACCCGCTTCACGGCACGAGAAGAGGGTCATGGTGGAAACGGGCCCTGGGCCCGCTGCGTCCTGGAGGCACCTGGGCCCGGGACCGATCCCCCAGGAGGACGACGACACAGCGAATCACCTCAAGGACCGTTTCCTTCATGCCGACGTCAGTCGTAACCATTCGGGAAGATGGCACCCCCAGACCGCTCTTGGCGAGGAGCAGCTGCAGGAAAGCACCCAGAGGCTGCCACAACATATCAAAAACTTAACCAAAGCGTCAGAACATATGCGCTGATCCCTGAGATCCGACGCTGGGGAACAAAAACATTGTGAATTAGCCTGACACAACCCTATGCAGCTGCGAGTGACGCAAGGTATAGCTCTCTTCTCAGACGTAGCGCACCGCGATAGGGTTGGAACCAAGAGCAATGTGGATGGGGGGTGGCGGACAAGGCGCACAAAGACGAAATTGACTCCATACGCGGGATGCAGCGTGTGAAGGGTGTGCAAAAATAGGCGCAGTTCCGCGATGGACGCCCTGCCACTTGGGTCGTTAGTGGAGCTCAATACGAGGCGGGTGCGCCATGCGAACTGCGCCACTGGGGCCGTATATGGAGCACTCCGTGGGGTCACGAAGCGTATGAGGGGTCTACCGAGTTGGAGCGAGTACGACATGCATGCTGTGCCTCTGGGGCCAAATGTGGGAATCTACATGGGGCCACGAAGTATGTGAGGGGTGTGCCGAATCCGGGGCGCCATGCGAACTGTGAATACGTGGCCCACGTAGGTGCTCCTGATGTCGCCACGAAACGTGTGCGGGGTGTTCTGGTGAAGGTCACGCCCCAATCAGGGGCGGGAGCTCCATGTGAGCAGTGCTGCCGCGCCCTCTCGTGCATCCTCGGAAGCCCGCGCGCCCACGTGGACTCCGCGGAGGAGGAGGGAGGAGGAGGAGGAGGAGGAGGAGGAGGAGGAGCAGGAGGAGGAGGAGGAGGAGGAGGAGGAGCAGGAGCAGGGTCGACCTCCCCATGGGGGCGCGAAATGCCTGAAGGGGATGCCGATTCGACGGAAGACTGTGCCGCTGGGGCTCCAGGTGGACCTCCCGATGGTCCTCTTGGGCAACGAGAGCATTCTTGGGCGGAGCTCCTTGTGGGGCCACGCGGCGTGTGAGGGGTCTGCCGAACAAGAGGCGGCGCCGCCATGCGGGAGCTGCCTTCGGTCCGGCCCCCTGAAGACCACGAAGTGTGTGAGGGGTGTGCCGAAATACGGGCGGCGCCGCCATGCGGGCGCTACCACTGGGGCCGTCGGTGGAGTTCCCCAGGGAGCCCCGAAGCGTGAGGGGCGTGCCAACACGGAAGCGGCGCCGCTATGCAGGCGCTGCCACTGGGGCATTCGGTGGAGCTTCGTATGGGGCCACGAGAAGCGTCTGATGTGTGCGTGTGCAAAAAAAGGACGCGCGGAGAAAGGGGAGGAGGGCGAGAAGGAGAAGGGGACGGGACGCGGGCGCTGCCGTCCAATTTGGCCTCCTCCCTCCTCCTCCTCCTCCTCCTCCTCCTCCTCCTCCTCCTCCTCCTCCTCCTCCTCCTCCTCCTCCTCCTCGCTACTCCTCGCCCCTCCTCCTCCTCCTACAAAAGGGGAGGACTTGGCAGTGTCTGGGGGGTCAGGTGTAGATGGGGGGCCCGCAGGGACGTCAACGAGGGCGTCTCAGATGCTCGGTGCCACGGCCCTTGGTGTGCGAAATTTCGCATCAATGTTCCCTTGGTGCACGAAATCTGACATCAATTTGTTCGCTGCACCGAAAGCCAAGCATAACTTACACGTCAAACTTCAGATTCCCAGGTCGTCTTCCAAGGTTCGATGGCAAACGACAGCCCAACGAACTTTGGCAAGTATTAAATCGGCAAACGCAGGCAAACGTCGACGGGATGTGCAAGAACACATAGCTTGATAACTTGGGCCGGTCAAGTGCGCCTGCACCAATACACTGGCAACGGCTGGGCAAACATACGCCCATCGAACATGGCCTTGAACCCGACCAGACAGGGAAGACTACAACAAGTATATGCTTCCACAGGATGCTCGTTGACACCAGCATCTCGAATCCAACCACCATAGCGCAAATACCAAAAAGAAGGTCGGACGTCAAGGTCCGCTGGGAGGATTGGGGGCAACCCGATTGCAAGCAAAACGCTTCCAATATGGCAAAGGATAGCCACCACGGCCGCCGAGATGGCTCAAGATGTTGCCAGGACGGCCGGGCCCGCCTCCAAGGCGGCCCAACATGGCCACGTGACGGCGCAAAGTGGCCTCAATATTGCCCAAGGAAGCCTCGGAGGCGGCTCAAGAGA